AATTGTTGAAAGATTTTTTCGAAAAGGAAAATGTGCAATATTTTACAAATTCAACACATATTTTTATACTACTGCAAAAAATATAGTATGTTTCTATGGCATTTTTTTAAAAGAATATGCTTGCAGCCGAATAAAATGGTGACTGCATCTTTGCTAAATAAAAATAAGATACTCAGAAACTTGTTTATAGCTAATAAAAGAGAAATACAAAAGTTTTTTTGGCTAAGAATTATAATTTTTTAAAAAGTCTGTCTTGCCGAAATCCTCCATAAATTCTGCTCCAATAATAATTACCATCGAAATTAGCAATCAAATAAAAATGCTATAATTGTTAGTGTTGATCATAAAAGTTAAAATTTAATCATAATTTTACTTTTCAAAATGAAGCTTATTTTTTTGTTAGTATTCAGTGCAAATGAAGTAGAAATTGTCATCTGGATGTAACCAATGATAATTTCAGTTAAGTTTTATGATTTTCACTCAAAATCAGGCACATTTTGAGTGATGGATGAATTCTGTATCAGTCGTGATTTTTTTGTCATTTTACATTGTTAAATTCAGAAATGTTAAGATTGATTGCTTCTTCGCAGTGCGTTTGCCGTATGCAATGGTATTTGTAGGGATAATTTCATATTTTTTTGTGACAAACTAAATTTTAATTTTGCTAATTTTATCACTTTAACAGAAGTGCTATGCACCCTTTAATCAATTCCAATTTGATTGATTTATTAGAGAAGTTTGTATCTCAATTTGTCATCTGAAGCACTGCAAGCAGTTGAAAGTCATCTGAAGCATTGCAAGCAGTTGAAAGTCATCTGAAGCATTGCAAGCAGTTGCAACAAAAGTTGCAATTATATGTCAGTTACTCAAATATTTTAATTATTAGCATATTATCTATCAGCGTAAAAGATATATTTTACTCTTTTAAAATATTTTTAATTTAAATTTGCCATTATTATATTATGCATTTGGTAAATGATTCGTATGTAATCTGAATTCCATTTCATACTGGCCAAAATATTTATTCTTCAGGGAAATTTTGATCAAAGGCACAGCATAAACAATTAGGCTGGAAAATAAAGAATGAAGTGTTTAAAAGAATGCTGGATTGTTTGCTAAACAAGTCTAAATTACAAATTCAAAAAAGAAAACAATAGTTTAAAAAATAAATAAAGACGATTTTTGAATGTTCTAAAATGATGCAAAGAAAAAATGAATAAATTTCAGAATGAAATATTACACAAAATTATTTTAAGAAACTAAATTCACTGAAAACTAAAACTACATAGCAATTAATTTTTCATCTATCAGAAACAATTAGAATTGCATTACAAGAAAATCATCAAATAGTTAATTTCTGTAAATTTTCAGTATACAATTATTGTCATCACTACTGAATTCTGGGCCACGGTATTATTCCATTGGACATTGTAATCCATCGTTACCGGTGAATTCGAGTTGCTGTAACATCTCGGGAATCCCGAAGGAATTGAGATCAAATCTATTTTCTGGATCACATTTGTCATCTCAGCGTACAAAATACAGGGAAGAAGACGGTCAACAACGAATTTTCAAGCATTTGTTGTCAAACGAAAACACATCAGTGGTTATTTGTTTGTATCAGTTTGCGAAAAGTAAAAAACTTAAATAATAATCTATAAATAAGTATATGAGTATCGATCATAGTAGTTAAAATAATTATGCTACTAAATAAGGAAAAGTTTGAAACATAAATTCATTTTCAATGTTAAGAATATTGCCCAAAAAGATAAGTTGTTTGATTTTTTGATAAAAACGATGGCAAGGCTGTTTTTACTCAGTCATGCTAAAATTGTATTTTTTATATAATCATTATTTTTTATCACTATGATCAATGCGATGAAAACAGTTGCTCTTCTCCTGCCATTTTATGATCAAGCAAAAAACACTTTTTATTTCTTCCATGCAAAAATTTTTCTTCACTTTAACCTTGCTTTCTTTACTTTTTATTCTTTTCAACAGTTTTCCTTTACTTAAATTTTGTAACTTTTCGATTGATAATTAATGATTAAAAGTAAAGTGAAAATAAGTATTAGTAAAAATTTTTGGTATATTATAGAATAGAATAAATGAAACTTTTTTGTACTCATATTGGACTCATTTTCGCTTCTGAATTTTAATTTTTATAAATAAATAAAATCTCCGATTTTAATAAAGTTTGGAATGATTAATTTAAGAGAGTACATGACAAAACTATCATTTTAATGCAAGCAACAAGAAGATTAGCTCGTAATGTTCTGAATGAAATAGATACTCACTCACTCATTCACACCATTATTGTTTATTCTTCAGTAATCCGCATAACCTTTGACACGTAATCTTTTCCTATCGATTCTAGGATATAAACCATACAAATTAGTACAACTTCGTACCAAATCTTCATTTTCATTTTCTAAAAATTTTGCTATGATTGGCACTTTTCGTTTTATTTTCTTACTGAGCTTTGTTTATCCATTACAAATATTATTATCAATTTAAATTGTATACTTCGTACTTTGCTTGAGAGTTTGAAATTTTTTGTGTCTCTTTTAAGGAAAATTATTGTGAACTCAAATCAGTAGTGTGTAATATAATATCAGTTCTGGTAGGTAATGATTAAATTGAAAATAAACAAACTGTGGCCAACTTTAAGTCTTTGCAAGTCTGACTTGACTGCAATAATGTCTGAATTCACTTCAGATCGTATTGGAAATTTGATGCTTTGTCGAGTGAAATCGACATTTCCTTTTTTTAATATTTATTTTCATCACATTTATTTGTTTATTATTTGTTTAATTATTTATTTATTCATCCGGCAGTAATGCCTTCTTCACACTTCACATTTGCTCTCCTTTTTTCTTGAATTTTATAGTTGTCGCAATAATTATCGTATAGTATAATCAATCTGACAATGAATAGACTTAAAAAAAACAAAATTTTCACCTGAATATTCTCATACAACACAATGCGCATTGTAATGTTTTTGTTTATCACTTCCAGTGAAGAAGTAAGTAATCAGTTACTGCACGCATCACACCACAAATAAGTTTACAATTATAATTATTTGAACATATTAATTATTATGGTAAGCAGTAAATATTGAATAACTGTTTCATGATTCTTGCACAGACCACTTTGGGATCAGTTGAGAATTCACGTTTGTTTGTTGACTTGCTAGAACGTTTCGAATGATAAATTTAAGAAACAGCAAAATTTTATGTGACTATTTCAGAGTTTGAAATGTGTTAAAGTTACGACAGCAGAGATTTCTTATAAAAATTTTTTGCCATCCATTGTTTTCTAAGTTTGTTTATAGTCGTCTAACAAGTATGGAAAATGACAAAGTTTACAAAGTTATGAGGATGATATGGTACTATATGATATGGTATGATTTGATATGATAGATATATATTAGAAGTTACAGCTTCCAATAAGACTGATAAATTTGAATGATTAAAGTTATCACATCTCAGTTCAACAAAACTTTCGGCTTAATCTCATCTCAATTCGTTTTTATACTTTCCTGAACTTTTTTCTAAAGCATTTTTTGTATTCTTTATATCTCAGCACTTTTATCTCACGCAAATTACGTCATGAAAACCATATCTATTTTTATTCAAAGGCAAAATTTTGAAAAGCAGAAAATTTTAATCTTTTCTCTTTTATATTTTTGCAACGTTTTAAACTCTCATAATTGTGTGCAGTCATTCTATGTAATTTTTTGCGTGTCTCAAATATTTTGACAAAGTTACTTCAAATCGAGCATTTACTGTCTATAAAGTAATTAATGCGAATAATTCTTTAAGCATCTTTTTTAATGTATTTGTATTTTTGTGAAATTTAGCGCATAAAACAATAAATTCATGGAACCAAAGCTGTGACTAATCTAAAGAAAACATTGAATAATATATCATATGACCTTGCGTGACCTTTTATTCATCCTCTTTTTATTCGCACCGCCTTATACTTAAGACATTAAGCAGCGTTGAATAGTTCCATTAGCGTTAATATTGTACTATTTTGCTATGGCTTCAAACCGCTTGGTAATTTGCATAAAAAAGAGAGTTGATTTGCAAGACATATGTGGGTAATATTTTTGAATATCTCATTTCAGCGTTAGTCTGATCATTTGCTTACATTAAATAGGATTAGAATTAGATGAAAGTAACGACGGAAATAGATTTATTCACTCACATTATATCATTTTTGTCCGTATTTTTTGCATTACATTTCATATGATATTTACATATTCCTAGCAAAAATAATTTACTGTAGTTGGCAGAACAACAACAAATCAAGTAAGGATAGTGGAACTTATTCACTTCATGTTACTTCTGATTATACAGGAAATAGCTAATGAAATTAACATTATTTGACAGTAATAGATTTAACGCGTAAATCTTAACGAAAAAACCTTTGACACGTATTTTTTTTTGAGGGGAAAACGAAGGAAATTATTTATTCACGCATGGTCGGGCGTGTAGATGATGGACGGATCACATTAGAAACAGTCAATTAAGCATAGGAAGAAGACTTTGAGAGTAGCACTCTGAAAAACTCGCTTTTTTTTCATTTGCGATCAAAAAATTGTTAATATTTGGAAAAGTGTCAAATGACTATTTTTTGACTTACTTTAGAGTTAGCCATATTCAGACTTAATTAGTTTAAACTATGATATAATCAATCTAAAACTTCATTTGACTTAATCGGATGTTGAAAACAAGCAGAAAATAAATTACTTGCTTGAAAAGATTGCACTTAACTGCTTTAAGTTTATGTTAGAAACTTGAGAAGTTTTAGTTTTTGCCCGGAACTCTTGCTTAATTGATCAAGATATTCTTTTTCAGTAGAATGTTTTATTATTCCAAGTAGCAAGAAGAATTCAAATTGAACTTTAACCTCAGTTTGCAAACGAATAATTTTTATTTTTCGCTCATATCTTCTCATTCTTGAGCCTTACGTGAATAGCTTGTTGAAATTGAGTAGTGTCTTTTTGAATAGTTCTGCAAATGAAGTTATAACCAGCTATATTTGTGTAAAATATCTTAAACAGGCCCAAGTTGATATCACGAACTAATTGGT